AAATAAGATATGTTAGGATGAGGTGGTACTGGTGGAACGACAATAATACTAACCAGTAAGGAAAGTAGTAAAGTCGGACGGGGTCGACGATATGATACCCTTCACCACTTTGAGTATATTCAACAGATGAATCCTAACAGACGTCGCATTTTTAAGGACCAGTAAAATGAAATTGGAACCTTAAACACGTCATTCTGCAACCGATACTAAATTGTTCACTTGGTCAGATATAGAAGCTAAATCTAATCTGAACCGATTTCAGAAAACGTAACACACATCTAGACCTAATTCTTTACGCTGTGCCAAACTTAGTGCAAACCGAAAGATATTAAGGGACTTTGGTGCACCATTTACATTAAATCGGACTAAAATGTATATGGGAGCTATATCTAAATCCGAACCGATTTTCAGGAAACTTAACACACATCATTCTAGACCTAATTCATTACACTGAGCCAAATTTAGTGCAAATCGAGAGATATATAGGGACTTTTGTGCACAATTTACCTTAAATCGGACGAAAATATATATGAGATCTATGTCTAAATCTGAACCGATTTTCAGGAAACTTAACACACATCATTCTAGACCTAATTTGTTACGCTGTGCCGAATTTCGTGCTTAAATCGACTCAAAAAGTAATTCTATGCATATTCTCAAAAGGAACCCTGTGTCTATCTCGGTTCCTTTTGCCTGTTACAATCATATGCACAAAGACATAATACCCTGTACCACAGTGTGGTGAAGGGTATAAAAAGAATCTGGTTCAGGAACCTCAAAATACCGAAAATTGGGGGGTACCCTTATATGGGGGCTACCAGAAAAAATTTACCAACATTTATCATTTATAGTGGAGAGATTTGCTACCTAATAAGAACTCGACGTACTAAATTACAGCCAATTCGGTCGAAAAATACGATCAGAACCTCCAAAATACCAAAAATTTGGGGGTACTGTTATAGGAGGACTACCAGAAAAACTGGACCTATATTTATAATTGTTAGTGGAGTAATTTGGTACACAATAAGAACCCAATGTACAAAATTTCAGAGAATTCAGTAATAAAACGAGCCCAAGAACCCGAAAATACCGAAAATTGAGGGTACCCTTATATAGGGGCTCTCCGAAAAAATGGACCTTTATTTATAATTTGTGGTAAGGAGATTTGATACCCAATAAGAACTCAAAGTACCAAATTTCAGCGAATTCAGTTAAAAAACGCGCTCAAGAACCTCAAAATACCGAAATTTTGGGGGTACCCTTATATGGCAGCTAAACGTGGACCGATTTTCTCCAATAGGGTTCGTCCTTGGGCCAATTAAGTGACCTGTGCCAAATTTCATCCAATTCGGATCATAAATGCGACCTGTACTGTGTTTACAATTTAACATGGACAGACGGACATGCGTAAATCGACTCAGAAAGTGTTTCTATGCATATTCTCAAAAGGAACCATGGGTCTATCTCGATTATTTTTGCCTGTTACAAACATATGCACAAAGACATAATACCCGGTACAACAGTGTGGTGAAGGGTATAAAAAAATACTTATAAAGAGATATTCTATGAGAGATATTTTCTACAGTTCTTCTGTAGATAGAAAAACCTTCAAAAGGTCAAGTGACAGATATCAGTAATATCAGTCATTCGTAAAAACTCTATTTAGAAAAAGACCCGTTTAAAGTTTAAGAACCACTCTTTCCATCACTGATGCAAGAAATCGGCAGGTCTTCTAGGCCCCTAAAGGTATAATACTCTTAGTAGAACTTTTTAGAGGTTTTTTGCTTTATTTTGCCCTTCAAGAGGTTTTCTCAGTTTAAAAGACCCTTCAAAGGTACTCTGCAGACAGAAGATCCTTCAAGGTCTTTAAAAGGTCTTCAGTGATAGAGGCCCCTTCAAAGGGTTTCTCATCATGAAAGTCCCTTGAAGATGTCTTTTAAAATATCTTCATCAGATTACCCTACAAGTAGTTGTATTCGTATGTAAGATCTGTAAAGAGGTATATTATAGGTAGAAAACCCTTTAAGTCCTGTAAGTGGCCCTTCAAAAGGCATCCTGTATATATAAGACCCTTCTAAAGATGTTCTATAAATGGATAGGTATTTTGTACATTTAAGGCCCTTTCAGGAATTTTCTATAAACAAAAGAGATTTTCAGAAGCATTCGTAGATAGGAGACCTTCCAAAGCTTGTTCTGTAACATTTTTACGTTAAAGGCGATATATTTGGATTTCTTAGTTCATCAAGTGATATTTTATAGATTTATATCTATTCATGAAGTATTTAGGAGATATAGAATACTTCATGAGGTCTTCTATAAGAAAAAAGTAATCAAGAGATCTTTTATGTATACAATGCACCTTAAGAAATCTTCTCAATCTTCTAGAGCTGTGTCAGTAAATCCGAGACCGTAGGAAATGTGTCTGGCACAGATGATTCCTTGTAGTATATCTAACTCTTGAGTCTGTTGAATTAACCTTTAGATATCCCTTGTTACCCTGCGACGTTCTCTACTCTTCGATCCTTAGAATTAACCCCTTAGGGACGGATATTTAGAAATTTAGTGGTAAGCACCCATTGTAGTGTTGTTAGTTCTTTAGTCAATTGGCAATCCCTTATAGTGTCCATAATTCTCAAGCCCAGTGGAGAATCACTAGTCAGGAACCTCTTGTAGTTTTTATTACCCGTGGATCTCTATAAATAAACCTTATGAACACTTGTTGTGTCCGTAAATCTTAGGCCTATAGGATTACCCATTTGCATGTTTCGTAGCACCGTAAGCAATTACAAAAGTAGTGATTCCGAGCAATAAAAACAAGTAGTGTCACCCGTTAGAAATAGACGAATCTGAAATTAGTCTTCCAGATGCAATTATTCAGATTTTCTGGCTTATCCAGGTCATAGAACCGACGAACTCTTGGTCCCGTGAATAGTCTCCACAGTATCCTCGAATAAATAACCATGTGCAGCTAGGAACGAACTTTTATCAAGATCAACCAAACAGTCAAAAGCCCTAGTCCCTCGTTAACATTTTTTGCGACCTAGCCCTAAACCCATAGGGGCCTATATAGTATGCCCGAGTAATTAATTAAAAAATAACGCGAGAACTTATTCAGGTCTCCTGAATAGTCAACATCACAAAAATAATTATCCATGGTTCCTGCCACGAATGAGTCATAAAACTGAAGACCTCCCCGAATTCAAACATCACTCTTGTGATATTCGTAACTCATTTTTCCGCGGCATTAACCCCTTGCTATGATCAGAAGTAGCTGGGAGAAACTTACAAGGACTGCTACGATGCCAGTGAATAGGAAGTACTAATCGAGGTATCCTATCAAGACAGGATCTTAGGGCTGTCAAATTTTTTGGGTATACTTGGCCAGGGCGTTCATAAGGAACATTTTCAGCACCTACACCTTCATATTAATTTTCCAAATGATACTAATGAAGACCAAACCCATAAAAATTATTTTGGTCATTATTATATCTCGAATTCTGTTGGTGACACTGAACTTCGAGACCTCAATCCAGTAATCAGAAGAAAATACTACTTATCACCACTCTTGGTTTTATTTCATAAATTCTGTTGAAGGTCCTGAGCATCGAGACCTCATCCCTGCACCTGAAATAAACATGTGTCGTTACAGTGAACATATTTTTCATTCCTACCATACAAAATCCATACTATACAAAAATAGGCTTGTGAAAAACAAAAAAACTTTTAAACTATTCCACCTATTTACCTCTTGGCCAACAAAGGTAATAATATTATCTTGAAATTACTTTAAATCCCATTAACACAAAACAACAAAAGACTTAGACCACAAACACCATTTTGTTTTCTCTCTAAGCAAAATAACTGCTCGGGATTGTAAAAAAGGAAATTGCTCGTAAAAGTAAAATGCTTTACACAAATCTTACGAAAAACGAACAAACACATAAAAATTACCCATGGAAAAGACAGACCCGAGATATTACACTTAATAGCCACTTTAAAAATTCTTTGCACACCAAATATAACAGGAATTGAACAGAATTAGAAAATTGTTTTGTACAGGAAAATTTAAATAAAATTTTGTGGTTCTTGCGAAGTTTTTACTATATGGTTTTTTTACAAAAATTGTTTTGTAAAATATGCCCATATTATTATCACATTTATGAAAATTGCATATTACCATATATGACAACACTTCTACAATACCCCTAGCAAAAAACCATACAAGTTACAGTTATACACAGGATACAAAACGAAGAAGAAAAAAATCGACACAGCGACACAAAGGCATTTTGCCCATTGTTTGTAGATTGTCAAAACAGGCGTGTTGCCTTAGACATTGACTCTTTTATGTTGTTTTGGTTTTTTTCGACTTTTCGTTTTGTTTTTGGCATTGAAACTTTAATGCCAAAAAACATTTGGTTGCCATTCAAACAGCATCGTTTGAGAATATCACCATATAAGGTGAAAACTATAGCACAAATAGGAAAACTGTTGGAAAAACAATTGCTTGCAGACCCAAAAAAAAACCTTTACCCAAAAATAACAGCTAACGACAATTTGGCAATGAATTGTTAAGTAAATGGTTATGCAAATAAAAACAAATGTTTTACTCGAACATGTGTGTAGATATTTTTTATGTCGTATTGGTTTGTGAGAAGAAAATTGGGTAAAATCAATATAAGAGATGAGGTTATCTTCCATGGACCTTGCTGGTAATACAGAGAGAGCAATTTTATATTTAAAAATTACTTTTATTTGTTTTCCGTAAAAATAAAATTATAATAATTGGAAACAATTGGTTTTGGTGAAAATTATAGTCGCCAGGTGCACTTTTTCAATTAAAAGGGGTCGAGAAATGCAAACGTGAAAGAATTTACAATTCAACAATTTTTTCAAAACAATAACTTCATAAAATATAGCAAATTTTTAAAATTGAAATGACAAATATTTATTATTTTTTCTTTAATTAATTTATATTTTATTGTTTTTCATTTCAGTCACAATGTCTACAAAAAGCCGCACACACAGCCTCACATCCCTCCACCGATTTACATATTTATCGTCATTTTATTTAACATTTTTATTGCTGCTCAAATGCCACAAAGTGGCTGGCCTTTTGGGCAAATCACAAATGTGTGAAGTTGAGACGGGACAAACAAATATTATATTGGATATTGAGGAGAGCAGGGGAGACTGTAAGTATTACCACCACATATTTTTACTAAAATAAAAAAAATTGTAATTTTAATCAAACAACTATACGGCTATTAAATATTTGTTAATTTCGGACTCCACCTTAAATTTGGTAGTGAACTCAAACAATAAAAATGGTTAAATTCCCAGACAATAAAATGAAAAACAATTCGGCCAGTAATACTGAGAACTACTGTAACTGGATCCATATACTGACAGCTTCTGATAATATGAAGTTTCATCTAAACAGAAACGTTAAGGAACCGTTACACCCCTTCTTGGTTTGAAAAATTTGAATTTATGTTCTTATATAATTTGAAACTACAATTCAATAATATCGATTTTAAAATGCATGTGAAAATTTCAACATCTCTTTGATTTTTTGAGTTAGCATATAGGGACGGCATGAATACTTCTCAAACTATAAACGCGTTTTTTTCGAATGGCGGACACGATAACTAAAAAATAATAATTCAATCAGTTCCAAACTTTAACACACCTTATACTTTAAGTAAATAGCTTTCGCATGAACAAGATATACAATCGTTGTAGATATTCCTACTTTTAAAATTTTTTGTGGCCGAAACTAGGCGATATTCAGACAAAAAATCGAAGTTCCGCTGTTTTCTTAATTTTTGTGCGAATTTTATAATACTTGTTCATACCAAAGCTAACATGTATTTTTATACCCTTCACCACACTGTGGTACAGGGTATTATGTCTTTGTGCATATGTTTGTAACAGGCAAAAGGAAACGAGATAGACACATGGTTCCTTTTGAGAATATGCATAGAATCACTTTCTGAGTCGATTTATGCATGTCCGTCCGTCTGTCCGTCCGTCTGTAGATGTTAAATTGTAAACAAAGTACAGGTCGCATTTATGATCCGAATTGGATGAAATTTAGCACAGGTAGTCTATTTGGCCCAAGAACGAACCCTATTGAAATTGGGAAAAATCTGTTCAGATTTAGATATAGCTCCCATATATATATTTAACCGATTTAATGTAAACGGTCCCTATATATCTTTCGATTTGCACGAAATTTGGTACAGCCTAATCATTTAGGTCTAGAATGATGTCTGCCAAGTTTCGTGAAAATCGGCCCAGATTTAGATATAGCTCCCATATATAGATTCGTCCGATTTCATGTAACTGGTGCCCCAAAGTCCCTATATATCTTTCGATTTGCACGAAATCTCGCATAACGTACTGAATTGAGCCTAGAGTGATGTTTGCCTTGTTTCGTGAAAATCGGTCCAGATTTAGATATGGCTCCCATTTATTATAAATTGATTTTAAGTAATTGACGCACCAAGGAACCAATAGGAACAAAACGTTCTAAAATTACTCCTCATGTTAGTCAGATTGACATCAAATTTTGAACAACATACAAAATTGAGCATAGAATTACGTAGTTGCGTTTTCTAGAAGTACAGATATAGCCCAACGGATGACCTATTGATATTTGTTTGAAGTCGATTTACATTCTTTATGGATAGATCTAGGTAGATTCACATTTAGATAAATATCACATATTTTATTTCATCCAATTTCATTATAATAGTCCTGTTTAACATACCCATAGTGGTGAAGGGTATCATATAGTCGGCCCCGTCCGACTTTACTACTTTCCTTACTGGTTTCTATTACGTTGGCATTTTATCTTTCCGATGTTTTAGTAATCGGAAATTATTTCCGCCATCGTTAAGATGTACTTTTCTTTATAAAGAAACCAATGACAACAAAATTATGTCAATTAACTTTCTTATATTTTATATCTTTAAATCTTATATGCTAAGTCACAAGTCTTCAATATAATGCTCGTTCATTTGCCACACGATTAAAAATCGCCGAAATTTTACATCGAGACTGGGGGTTGCCTTAAGACCTTATTAATATTTAACCCTTCATTTATTCAGCAATAACTGTCTTGTCCCCTAAAATGTAATCCCCTCAGATACAATAAAGTTATGCCAGCGTTGTTTTTTTTTTTAAATCCACAAAACACTTTTGAAACGCACTTTTTGGTATAGCCTCCCCCAATCCTAGCAAAACGCTTTCCTTTCGTGGGTGTATTCGAATTTCGTATTGAAGCGGAATACATCAACTGTCAATCAGTCCGGTGAATACAACGATTGTGTTTAGCCAAAAACTCTAGCATCAATGCGTGAGCTGGTGCGTTATTGTGATGAAAATTTTGTGCGATTGAAATATCCATCAAGTAAAATATTGAAGGGCTCACAAAACTTTGTAACTGTCAAAAACAAACTGGCAATCCAAAATGGCTTGTATATATAGAACAAACATGCGTACAAATATAACAGAAAGCCAGTGAGCTGAGCAGTATATTCAGATGGGGCTGACCACATATTACCCTACATAACTACCACGGAGTTCTATGTGTCTGCGCATCCATATTCCTATCGCGATATTTGCACTCTCTTGACCGATTAGAGGCCAACAGCTTCTCTGCTACATCTTTTCAGAATTATTTTTCTCGGAAAAATTATTCCAAATTTTGATATTTTAGACACAAAAGTTTTGGTTCATTTGACCCGCTAAATAATGACTATTCATGACTATTCCGGCCACAGATGGACTGGCCGACACAAATTTGTAGATCTATTTATATTTATGAGATATGATCGGTATACTAAAACTTGGGGTCTAGGGCCAATATTTCGCGGTGTTACAAATATATTTAAAGATTTGGGTTTGATTTGTTTCAAAAATCTTGTTAAGGGAAGATTTTCAATGGGCTGGTAAATCAATACCAATGCTTGTTAAGGTTTGTAACATTGCACATATATATTTGAAGATTAAAAAGAGAGGAAAAATTATTTACAGAAAAATTTTGTAATTGTTTTTTGTAATTAAAGAGAAGTCCTTATTTTTGATGGCGGGCATGATAACTCCTCACTGGAACATCGGAATCCGAAAATTCCAACGGTGTTAGAAAGAGTACATGTCTGGCTCTCGTATGAACTAGGATTATTGACTTCGCTCTAAAATTAACAAAATGGCGGACCTTTGAAAAAATATTTTAGGAAAATCGCCGATTTTTGACCAAAAACCAATTTAAAAAATAAGGAAGATCTTCACCGATTGGCTTTATCCTAGTTCATACGATAGCTATACACTCACAGAGAAACGTGTAAAAATTTGGAGATTGGTTTATTAGTTTTTGAGTTATCGTGCCGCCATTCACAAATAAGAAAAACGCGATTAAAGTTTGAGAAGCTCTTTAGCCGTCACTTGATGCTGACACAATAAATCGGCTATATCTTCAAGAGTTCTTGAGATTTTCACTTGAAATTTTGTAGGGATATTCTTGAATTAGTGTAGATTCGAATTAAATCCAAAAAAAAATTTTGACTCCGAGAATGGCGAGGTCCCCTTAAGTGGTATTAATTTTGTTTGTGGCTGTGTGACATGTAGGTTTTGGGAAAAAATACTATGAACCTCTATCAGAATATGAGAGTATATCAGATTTGTCAATCCGTTTCCAACACCTCGAAATATTCGCTGTGAAATTTTCCACACTACTAATTGTGCTACTACTCCTAGTATAATTGATATTGAAAATAGGATAGAGGGTCCACTTTTCATATGACGGGGCTTTTAGCACGTCTTTCCAACCTAAACAGCTTGAATTTGGTATTTTCAATTATCATTAAGTAAAAAATATTCCTACTAAAAGAATCAGTATTGGTATTCATTTTAGGGTAGCCCCCATAATATCCACGTTAAACAATATTCCCCGTACAATAATATTCCCAAGTTTTTTTTTTTATTATATATGTTTAGTCCTCAGAGGTTGAGAAATATGTCTTACTAGAAAGTACCAACATCGGTCAATGATCGGATATAGTCCTAATATAATAGTACCTCAATTTTTCGTCATTTTGCGGATTTAAATGATGTTTTCAATTGCTTAAAAATATCTGAGTCCAAAAATAACACAGCTCCGACTCCAATGACCCATTCATAGCCCCCGATTTTATATAACTATAACTATAACATCCATTGTTTAAGTTGTTTATTTTTTACCATTTTTATTTATTAGAACGTTTGTGTCTTAAGTCTTTCGTTTCCCCTTTACAACTAATCGAACACCTAAGTTAGTTTCTGTACATTAGTTGTATTTAGTTCATTTTTTCTATCATCAAACAAGTTTTGTTGTAGTGAAAATTAATTAAAAACTCTATTAAAATAAATTGCAAATAAATAGTTTCATATCTTTCTATCAAATAATGAACAAAGAATCACTCAATATGTGTAAAGAAAGTCATTAATATTTGCTGATAAGGCATGTGATTAATTTTGATTAAAAATACATAATAATATTAGAAATTATAGTTCAAAAACAAGATAAAGGAAAGGAAGATAATGGAATAATATTTGCAATTATTTATCGATATTCTAGCATGATGTACCTTGTACACAAAAATCCATTATTTTTTTTAATATTCGTCATAAATTATAACTATATTGAGATAATGATATTCTTTACGAAATTGTTTTAATTTTTTTTTTGCCATTTTGGTATAATAGCAAGTATGTCACATTGCTCACAGATGTACATGAATATTGATCCCAGCAAGAACATAATCCCATTTTCATCGATATAAAAGAGCTGCCGCATGAAACTAAAGTAAGACTGAAGATAAATCGCACTGCTCTGAGCATTTAAAATATCAGGAAGCATCTGTTGTGACGATTGATATGCTCCAATTTTAATCGCCTAAACTGATGATAGCGGAATAGAAGAATTATCTAAAAAATATATAATTTGTTGTCATGCAATGTAGTTTTATCGGGAGTGAAAACCAGCGTCGAATTATTTAAAATTTGATAATTAAAAATAGTTTACTGTTCCATTTGTATATTCTTTATTTATTATTATTATTTATTTATTTGAGGAATAATAAATACTCCCAAGTTTTATTTACTCGTTCTTATTTTTTTCCGCCACTGAATATTGGATATTGGAATTTTT